ACCAGCTTATTCCCCAATACCTTACTCTTGTTTTGGTGCCTATATGTTAAAGTTGACTCATATCCCAGCCCTTTGACACGTGGCCCAGGCTGAACTCTTTAAATTTGTCACCATGAAGCTTTTTCTCAAGTCCTCAAGTAATATCTGTGGCTGTTTTGCCTCCACTCTGGTTTTGTAATAACTTTAAAAATTTGGTAGATCACAGAGAGGGGAGGAAATGGAAGCAGCCTGGACAGAGGCCAGTAGGCCAGCCAGAGGGCACAGCAGGTGGGTAAGGAAGGCATTTGTAGTGCAAGGAATGTGCTTCCTTCTGGGATATGCACGGAAGCTGGGACTTCCTGAGTCTTGGCATTCCTGAGCCATGTAGCAAACTGTCAATCCTTCTCTGACTGTAGTGGTCACTGCTCAGATTATCCTCATTGGGTGGGAAGGTCTGGGCCCTCTTGTAACAGGGCTTACAGAAGTCTGCTTCTTTCCTTGGAAATACCTGATTTTCCTCCCTCTCAGGGTAGTTCTCTGCTTTATCTGCACCCTCGTCCAGAAAGAGAGGCTTGTGTTTTAAGGTGTGACATCCTGTCGCCACTACACACTAGCACAGGCTTTTTTCTTCCTTCCAGTCCTGTTATTTGAAATCCAGAAGTTATATTTAAAATGTAACCCTAACTTTTGATCTAAGCCTCAACATTCAGCATGTGCCAGACATGGGGAAGGATCTGTGGTTTCAGAGCAGGATGCTGCCCTTCCTCTGGCAGGGCGTATCTGCATTACGGTGGGCAAGCCAGAGGGGTGGAGACTTTCCACAGTTCACTGTTTGTGTCTTTCTTGTTATACAGCATGTGGTTTGGGAAAGCTGCAGAAGTGTTCACACTGTGTCAAGAGGCATTGGGATTTGTCTGGTGGCCAAGGGGCTCTAGGAGGGCTGAATATGGTGAAAGCCAGCCTCCAGTACCTCAGAGCCCTCAGAGTCAGAAACTTTGTGATGTAAGTCATCAGCTTGTCAAGGGGGACAAACCACAGGTTGATGTGAAGGTCTCAGGAATTGTTTCTTGATCATTTAGCTGCAGTCCTTCAAAGAAACACAGGAGGAAGCTTACTTGTTGCTGAGTTTGAGGGTTTGTGTAAAGCCAAAGCAAAAGAGGCATGAAGTACTGATCAATACCTGCATGGGACGGGGCTGGAGGAGGCTGTGCTGTGAGAGTGCTGGGCAGAGGAGTGTACAGAGGCAGATTGGGGTTGAACTCATGATGAGTAAGTTTAGCTCTCGTGGTTGTATTCCTGGATTTTACATCTTTCACATTCTTTGGAGACAAAGTTTGTGTGTGTGGTTGTATGTGCTGGAAGCAATATCTGGATGATGGTGCATGTGATGTGGGGAGCAGTGTGCCTGGTGCAGGGGAGCTGGGTTGTGCTTGGCCAGAGGGACAGAGCTCAGCACTGCTGGTCGTAACGCTTGGTGCCGGGAGCCTGCACACAACAGCTGCAGGATCTTCCTTCTGGCTTTGGAAAGCCAATTTTCTGCACTCATTGCAGATTCATACTGTGAGACACTGCCTGTGGATGGCCCCCCCTCTTTCCGGGGACAGTCCGTGAAGTACGTGTACAAGCTGACCATTGGCTGCCAGCGCGTCAACTCCCCCATCAAGCTGCTGCGCGTGCCCTTCCGCGTCCTCGTGCTGCACGGTAAGGCCGCGTGCTGCCCTCCCTGCACGGGCAGGCCGGGCTGCACCCTGCCCTGCTGATGCTCTCACCTTCTCCCCAGGGCTCAAGGATTACCAGTTCCCACAGGATGAAGCTGTTGCGCCCTCAAACCCCTTCCTGGAGGAGGAGGAGGGCTTGAAGAAAGACTCTCGCCTGGCAGACCTGGCGACAGAGCTGCTCATGGTGGCCACCTCCCGACGCAGCCTGCGTAGGTCATATTCCCTGCTCAAACCTGCTGTCCTTCCTGAGAAGCTGGTTATGGAGGGCCAGCTCAGCTCAGCCCAGCTCATGGCCAGCTGCAAAATATTTCTCACTGACAAAGTGAAGTTCCAGCTATGGCTGTGGAGCAGCTCTATCAGGGCCTGCATGGGTCAGGGCCTCCTAGCCAGTCTCAGGCTGTTCCTACTTCAGACCGAGAGACCCTCTGCCCAGCACATGGCAGCCAGTGTAGGGTTTGCCCTTGCCCACTGCAGAAATTTCCCAGAGGGAGTACCACCTCTAGGGACTGTTCTTCACACCCAAACAGAAGGCATGAGATCATGTCATTAACCCAGAGCACTGCACAGAGCAGAGCCTTGTGCTGCCACAACCCTTGTCCCTTTTCTTGCTCCACAGATCTGTATAACATCAGCAACACTCGTGGGAAGGTGGGGACGTTCTGCATCTTTAAGACTGTGTATAAGATTGGAGAGGATGTCATTGGGACCTTCAACTTCTCAGAAGGAGATATCCCATGTCTGCAGGTCTTTGCTATGTCTGGGATTACTGGGGAGAGGTGGGGATTTAGGGTGAGGGTGGAGAAGGGATTGGGGTGGCACTGGGCTGTGAGGGTTTCCGGTGGGGCCCAGCTGGGGTCACCTTGGAGTGTGAGGTGGACAATGGACCTGTCCTGAGCTCATTTGGGAAATGGAGCCCCTAAGGCTTTGCATGAGGTGTGTATGAGGTTGTGAGAGCAAGCACCCAGCCAATTGCCCTGCAGTTCTCAGTGAGCCTGCAGACAGAGGAGAGCATCCAGGAGGAGTTCCAGCGGCGGCGGGGACAGCCTGTCTCCTTCACCATGCACGCCCGCCATCAGGAGTCCTGCCTGCACACGGCGCAGAGCAGCTTCAGCCTGCCCATCCCACTCAGCTCAACCCCAGGATTCACCACCAACATCGGTTAGTAGCCACCAGGCAAGGGACCCTCCTGCTTGTCTCTGCAGGAGGACGGTGATGTCCCCAGCCCTGCCCTTGCTCAGCAGAGCTAGGCCAGTGTCCCTTGGGAGGGAGCTGGCCTGTGTGAATGGGGTCATTTGCTGTCCCCTTGCCAGGACAGGCTGTGCTGAGACAGCTACTGTCCATGGCCCTTGTGGGTGTTATGTGCTGACTACCCTCTTGCTCACAGTGTCCCTGAAGTGGAGGCTGCACTTTGAGTTTGTGACTTCTGGGGAGTCAGCGGGGACTTGCTTGGTTCGTGGGAGCCAATCGGAGGCTGTCACCTGGACTGGGGTGGAGCAGATGGAAGTGGACACCTTCAGCTGGGACTTGCCCATCAAAGTTCTTCCCACCAACCCCATCCTGGCTTCCTACGTATCTCAGTTCTCCAGCACTAACTCCATCACCATCTGACGTAGGGAGAGGTTGTTGGCTTGCAGTGCTGCAAGCGTGTGCCACCACTGGGAATGGCAGACAGGACTGTCACCAGTGTGCTGTGGTGCAGGCATCCCAGTGTCCCCTTGGATCAATCTGTGATGTCCAGGTGGGCACCAGGCATGTCTGTCCTGTCAATGGTTGGAAAAACACTGCTTGATGCAGTGTCTTGTGCTGCAGCCCCCAGCTGGAGCTGGACCCCTCCTGCCTGGGTGAAGGTGCAAGTCCCAGCACTCAGCAGAAAGAAATCTGCCTTCCCAGGGAACCGCTGATGTGCCTTGATCTCATATGGGACTTCCAAGAAGGAAAGGCCCAACCTAGGGAGGGGAGAGGGGAACTCATCCAGTGAATCTTCGTACCACCCTTGGGTGAAGGCTATGCCCTTACAGAGACCCTAGAAGCAGAGGTCTAGCATCCAGGTGAAGCACAGTGGCCACCTGGGCTGGGTGAGACCCTGCTCTCCTGCCCTGGCATGTGTCCTGCCTCTTGGAGAGTTGTCCTACACACAGAGTCCAGTGCTCCAGCCACCCTCACCTGGAGGCGGCAGGTTGTGGCAGGCCAGCCCTGTGCTGCTGGCTTGTGCTGGTGAGCAGGATGCAGGCCTGGGCTGTTGTCTGCCTGGGTTCCTGGTGTGAAAGCATCCTGCTGGTCTTGGATCCTTGGGGTGCTGTAAGGAATGCATGCTGTGCATCTAAGAGCTGGCATGGAGATCTCCCTGCTCAACAGCCAGCTCCCCATTTTTACTGAACTTTCCAATGAGCTTTCCTCTTTGCATGAAAATGTAATAAACATCTGAATGTGCAAAACTCGGCCTTCCCAAGAGCCTTGTCCCTATATTGTTCCCAATGTTCCTATATTGTTCCCACCTTCTACAGCAGTCACAGGCTGGAGACCTCTTTGTTCAGTATCTTTATTGCAAGAACAGAAACATCTACACAAGGCTCTGCACAACACAGGCATGGCACCAGCTGGGGCAGCTGCCAGGGTGGCTGCCTCCACCCTGGCACTTGGATTGCTCCTGCTTCCTGAACCCTCCCCACCCTTCTCCCTTGCCAGTGGGGATGGGGCTCTCCCCTGGGGACATCCTGTTCTGCCACCTGCCCTGGGCTGGCTCTGTTGCAGTGTTGCCCAGGGCTGGCCTGCAGTGCCAGGGACCCCAGGAGCTTTTGGAGCGGGGCATTAGTGGTTCCAGAGGTGGGTTTTGCCCCTTGCACTCCAGGAGCAGAGAAGGGGCTGGACAGGGTGTGGGGATCCTGCACAAGGTGCCGCGGTGACCCCAGCGAGCTGCCCACGGCTGCTGTGCAGAGGAGCACAGGTCTGGGAGGGAGTAGGGAGCTGCTTTGTTTGGGGCTGCAGGAATGCAGGACTGCCATGGAGCAGGCTGATGTAGTCCTGTAGCGTTTTTTTATCACTGAAGGTTTTCTGCCCACCTGGAGGAGATCCGGTAGAATCTGCATTTCCACGGTGTGCAGAACACCTCACAGGGAGGACGCCCTGGTTCAGGAAGCTGAAGGCAGAAGCAGAGCTTGGTACCATGGTGTGTGGATAGTGGTTTCCTTGGAAGGTGCCGGCGGTGATGCCTCTACAGGGGGGGTGGAGCAGGTCTGAGCATGCGGGCGGTGTGCTCTGGAGGGGGGAGCGCGGCGCCGGGGCCGCGGGGGCTGCCGAGACTCTCTATCTGCTCAGCCCCGCACCCAGCAGCTTGTTCACCAGCGGCTCGGGGGTGCTGGCCGAGCCCCACTCGTGCTCCACGCTCTTCACGCACGGCAGGCTGGGGTTGGCCTTCTGCACTACCGAGATCTGGCAGGTCTGTGAGTCGTAGTGAGCCTCGCACCAGTCAGGGAAGTCGATCGGGTGCTGGGTGCTGTGGGAGAGGACACGGTGCTGTCAGTACCCCCGTCAGTGCCGGGGGCTGCTGACGGCTGCGTGTCTTCCTGCTGCCAGCCCCCTGCACAAGGTGTCTTCCAGACCAGCTCAGGCAGGCTGGGACACGGCTCCTGGCACATCTGGGCATCTTGCTATGCTGAAACACCCTTTCCAACTGCCCCAACTCACCCCACCACCCTCAGGGGCCTTCTGGGGTCCTGCCCAGCTCTGCCTCTTGTTCACCAGGACCTGGTGCCCCGCAGCCCTCCCAAGCTCTGATATCAGCTGCATTTGCAGCCAGCAGACACCCGCCGCTGCACATGCAGGGTGCTGTGGTGGGAGGTGACAGCCCACCCCAGCCCGGCCCCTCACTCACGTCTCACAGCAGCCCACGCCAATGGGGTGCAGGCAGGTGCAGAGCAGGCAGTTGGTGCTCAGCCACGATTCCCCAAGGGAGAACTGTTTCCCTTCGTACTCACAGGGAGCTGCAAAAGAAACAGTAGTGATGAGAACACGTGGGCCTGTGCTGAGGGCGAGTGGAAGCCTCCTTGACACCCCTGTGCCCTGAACAGGAGCAGAAGTATCATGATGACCTCTCACCCAGCTTGTGCTATGGAAGATATATGGTGGTCTATCCACCATCCTGCAGGTATGGAATGCCCTGTCATCTCTCATGGGTGGTGTACCCCTCCATCCTCTCCTGGCCCTGTCCCCGTTGGTCTAGAGCAAGAAGCAAGTGGCTCTTGCTTCCCTGGAGAGGACAAATCCAGCGCCCCTTAGGGTCTGGGCATTTCTGCAGCCCTGGGAGGAGACAACAGAGGGATGATGAGCTACCCTCCTCCCTTTGCTGCTAGTCCTGCACACTCGGCCCCAGCCAGGTGCCTGCCAGGAGCCTTCATGGCCCAGAAAGCTGTTTCTCAGCCAGAGCCCTGGGGAGCTGTTCTGTGGTTTATAGACTGCTCCTTCCACTCACCACTGGCCCATGATCCCATTCCTGAGCTCAGCACAGTCCCTTCCATTCTTCTCAGGCATAAGGAAGAGCCCTGCCGTGCTGGGAAAGCTGAGGCCTCCTCTTCCTATAAGCCTCTTCCCATCTCACCTCCCCACTTACCTTTAGCCTGGAAGTAGCATTTGGCCTGGGAGCCCGGCAGCTGGAGGAGCAGGGAAAGCATCAGGCAAAGCCTGCCCCAAGCACACCTCATCTTCTGTGCTTGCATGGCCATAGATGGTTGAGCTGGACTTGTTCACTTCGCTTCTCTGTTGCCTTTGCTCCTTTGCCTTCTCTTTCTCTTTCTCTCTCTCTGCCTTTTTAATGCTCTTCCCCTGATCCCAATGAGAGATATTTATAAAGTTCAGCTTTACGACCCTGGCCACCAGCTGTGCCCCACTGGAAAAGTTGTAAAACTCATTTCCTGATTTGAAAGGCATGAAAACAAGAGGTAGGATCAAGACTTTTAACAAGCTGTGAAAAGCTGATTCATGCCCTCCAGAAATTTCTCCAGTTGGAAGCCCCTGTGGGTGCAAGGCTCCACAGCAAGGGGAGATCCAAAGGTCCCCAGCAGCGTTGCCCTCTGCAGTGTGGTGAGCACGTAAGCAGCAAGCACGGGAGACCCTGGCTCCTGACCAGGAGAGCTCCAGGCTCCCCTGTGGTCATGCTGAGCCGTCACTGCTCCTTCACAGCAAGCCAAGGTTTTGGGAGCATCCCATCTCACAGTGACCCGAGCAGCACAAGCATTCTGCTAACAGTGTGGGATGCAAATGGCACCATCCTCATTTGGGGAGGGAGGCGCTTGCACCCACTCCTGAGTACCACATCATGGCACTTCCACCCCAGCCTGGACTGCAGCTGTGCCAGGTTCATAGCCATGCATGGGTTGGGGATGGGGACAGCAGGTTTAAAATCACAGAGTCATAGAATCACAAAGTCACAGAATCACAGAATATGTTGAGTTGGAAGGAGACCATCAGGATCACCATGTCCAACTCCTGGCCCTGTGCAGGACACCCCAAGAATTCCAGCATGTGCCTGAGATGTTGTCCAAGCACTTACTGAGCTCTGACATACTTGGTGCTGTGACCAGAGCAGACAGTGCAGCAACTACAACTGATGCAGAATAGGAGAATGAACCAGGGCTCATCTGAGCAGTGCCCATGAAAGAGGACTGTGCCTGTGCACCCGGAGCACCCACAAGGTACTGGGGCTGAGCATCCTCTTACAGGGGCTGCAGACTGGCCCCAACAGAACCAGGAAACAGGATGGTTAAATTTAGGAGGCAAAAGTGCTTTTGGGCAACAGGTAATCTGAGAGGTAAACAAGGGACTTGGCTGGAAGCAAGGACCTGTGGGAAGGTGCCACATCACCCAGGGTTGTGCCTGTGGACCTCACAGACCCTCACCCAGAGGGGCTGCCTCTGTGTAGAAGTTATAAGGCTGTTATCAGCTGGCAAAGTGAGCTGAAGTGCAAGAGGGAGAAGGTCAGAGCCCTGGGAGCACATGGCCCCGGAGAGCTACAAGCAAAGGGCTGACTAGCCAAAAGAAATTCGCAGCCCTGGTCAGAGGTGCTGCCAGCAGCAGGAAACAGGGCTCTGGGGATGGTCCAGCCGGGGGCTCAGCCAGCACAGGGCCATGCTGGCAGTGAGGCAGCATCAGCAGCAGTGGCATATGTGGGTCATCTGCCCCTGCTTTAAGCTCCCTGTTCCTGAGAGTTTGGGATAAATTTACACCTTGACGCGTGAGGCTTAATATCCCTGCCAGAATTTGTATTGGCATTCACTATTATAGCTGGATATTTTTCTTATCCCTATAAGTGCCCAATCCCTCATTGAATCTTGCTAAATTTTGGCCCGAGCATTTTCCTGTGGCAGTCTAATTAAGCACAGAGTGAGAAAGAAAAATGCTTCCTTTTATCCGCTTTATCCGCTTTGGATTCACCACCTTTGGATTTGAAGGCAGAGTCCCTTCCCTTTGGTGCTCTGGGCCCCTTTGCCATCTCATTGCATCCATCTCCTGCAGCTTGTGCTCTCACTGCTGAGGGAGAAGCCCTGGCTTTGCATTCCTTCTTCCCCTTAGAGAATTATCCCAGCCCTGCTGTGGTGCCATGGGTGATGCTGTGTCCCTCGGCGGGGTGGCTGGATGGCAGCGAGTGTGGGATCTGTTAGGAAAGGCTGATAACAAATCAGAGAAATGCTGGGCACACCCTGCTGACTGTTGAGCCACGAGATGGTGGAGTCTATCAGTGACAAATGGAACTTGCCCTTTGGTGCAGAGTTGTTACTATATAAGGAGGATAAAAGTGTTCGTCGTCAGAGCAGTTAATTCATATTCCTATTGTGTGTTTGGAAAACGAAGTCTGGCATGCTGGTAACTGCAATGAAATAATCCATCATTCTTTCATCAACAAGAACAGCAAATGCTAAAAAAAAAAAGAAGTGGTGGGTTTCACTCAGAGGCCCACAGGATTTATACAGGCTTCCAGAAGAGTGCTCAAAACCTAGAGCGACAGCGTCTCTTGGCTGTGGGGAAGGGCATTGCCCCTGCTCCATCAGGGACATGGAGAGGTATTCTCAGGATTTCTGTAGCCATTATGGTTCATTAAATAGAGGGTTAAAGCTACAAGTCCATTCATGGCCATCGGGTTTTTCACCAAAGTGCTTTGCTGGGAAAATGCAGAGAAAAATAGGAATGTCAGGATGTCTCTTGGCACACTGCAAAGGGACCAGGGCAGGGGAGCACCATCCACACTGTGGCTGTGCATAAAGAAAGGGGCTGGTGATCCCCCATAGCCTGCTGATCCTGCTATTCCCCCTCCTGACCACTTTCCTTCCCCCACTTCTGCATTCCTGGGCACCCAGCTGTCCCCATCACACACAATCCCCTGGGTGATCCAGGTTGTACAGGAGGGGGCTTGTAATTTGGAAAGCAATAATTGCAATTGGACTTGGTGCTTCAGAGCTTCTGCCCGGGCTCTTGAGAGTACTGTGGCAAGAGGAGCTGACACTCTGTCCTGCTGTGCCAGCCTGGAGGAGGTTTTGGTGCAGAGATTGAAAAGAAGCAGCTGCTTTTGGTCTTGCATCTTGGGGAACAACTGAGACCCGGGGAAGAACCACAGAAAGGATAAAGCGGCTGGAAGAATTGCCTCTCTAGAACATCAGTCACTTTGATTTACCAGGCAGAGCCCCACAGAAGGGATCACTGCCTGTCCACGTGTGTGCCAGTGAGGAGCAGTCACCACCTTTGAGTATCCCAGGATCCTGCAGAAGGTCACATCCATGACTCAGCATCCTCCCAGCAGGACCCAGCTCTCCTGCCTGGCCTGGGTTCCAATTGTAGCTGTGCCCGAGAAAAGCTGGGTGCTGCACCCCACCAGGGACACAGCTTGGCTGTTCTCCTCTGGCAGCAAATCTCTCTGCAGAGCAGCAGAACGCCCAGTGCCAGGGATGGGACCCCATGGATGGGGAAGGAAGAGCATCCAAGCCAGTGGCGCTGGGATGAGGTGGCAGCAGCCCACCCCAGCACCACAGGAGGCTCAGGGGGTAATAACTGATGCTGGACAAGTTGCCATCAGCAGCATCCAGGAGGGTTATAAAACCTGAATCTCCTGAGCCTTCAGCTGGAGCTGCAGCTGCAGAGCAGGAAGCAAACAGGATCCCGGCTGGCATTGTGAAAGCAAACACCATAAATCCAAGGAAGTGCTGTGATTGCTGTTTTAGGCACTGGGGAGCTTGGCTCCTGATCCCCAAAGATATTTTATTTTCTCTCTGAACAAAAAAAAAAAAAAAAAAGACAAAAAAAAAAAAAACCCCAACACAAAAAACCCCAAAACACTAAAAAAAAAAAAAAAAGACAAAAGAAAAAAAAACCCAACACAAAAAACCCCAAAACACCGAAACAAAACAAAAACCAAACAAAAAATCCAAAACCAAAAAATCCACAACGCTAGTTTATCACTGGACCAAACTGCATTGGTCTTGCTGTGGACCCTGAAGCAGCTCTGGGATGTAGGCAAATTTCCTTGCCCAGCACTTTAAGGATGTTTCAAGCACCAGAGTACCCAGGGCACCAGGGCAAGTGCAGGTAGGTGCTGGCTCTGAGTGATGACCATTCATCAATGCTCACTGCTCACTGGCATGGCCAGACCCCGGGGAGAGGTGACCAGAGGGGTGAGGAAGAGATAGGAGTCAGGAGCTGGGAAGGGAGGACAAAGGGCTAGCCAGGGTGTTGCGGTGTGATGTCATGACCTGCCTCAGTTTCCCCTGATTTCTCCCTGAAGTTTCCTTCCCCAGGTGGGAAAGGAACCTTTCCTTTCTTCACCCTTGACCCCTGCTGGGCATTGTCTATCAACCCAGAAACTCCAAGGGGAACATCGAGCAATTGGCAGGTTCAAAGGATGCTCTCCACCCCTGGGGGGCCATTGGCTCACCCAGGTGTCCCTCTCGCCTGAGACCCCCTCCCCCTGTGCCAGGTTGGTGCTCCCTGTGTTCCCTCCCCTGTCCTAGGTAAAAGCGCAAGCGGAGCACGTGGTCGGGGTCTGGTGGAGAGTTCTGTGGAGTTGTTGCAGGCCTGAAATAAAAACTCTGGATTAAAAACTCTCTACGGGACCCACTCCTTTCTTCACCTCGCCTTAAAGGTTTCTCCAGCTCAGGAAGGCCAGAGGAGTGCCCCCTCACAGCGAGCCCCAGCCCGCAGGCACTGGGGCTCGGGGCATGCCCGGATTGTCCCCACATGCCCAGTGTGACCACAGGCACTGAACAGCGACTCTGGGGAGAAAACACCACGGGTGCTGCTGTTCGGTCAGCAGCCGAGCCCAGGCAGAACAAGGCAGTCCTGTCTGTAATATTGGTACGCTCCAATACCAGGGAATGACAGCTGGCTCATGGCATCCTTCATCCCACAGCTGGCAAGCCAGACGGGACAGCTCACAGAGGCTGGAGTACAGCCCCACCTGCAATGAGACTGTTGCTCCAAAAAGGGGACAAAATAGAGGGGATGTGAGAAAAAATTGATGTCACCTTACTCTGCAGACTGGCTGCCTGCTGGATGAAGCTCGATGTGGTGGAGAAGCATGGGCTGCAAGGCATGCTGGTATGCCTTGTGTTTTCCACGGGTGTCCCTGGCCTCAGCACCCTGACCCTCCTTGCAGGAAGAGGTGTTCTGTCCCCAGAGGCTAGGCACAGCCTTTCCCAGGGACTCTATGGCCCTGGTTGGAGGAGGTGTGTGGGTTCCC